AGCTGTCAAAATAAGCTACAAAAAACACGTTTTTAGTGCTGCTCTGCTGTTTCTGCAATAATTTGCGGAAAAACCGTCTCCACTTTTTCTGTGAGTGTGCGCGGAAAAGTAAAACGGTGTGTTCCCATGGGGCGAATCACGCTAGTAAATACTAGAAAAACTAGTAAATCTAGTGCGAATAATGACGTCACAAACGAAGCCAACTTCACACCAAAGGCCATATAATTTATATGAAAAACTACTGAGAGCCAACTTCACGCACTAGAATTTTCTAGTTTTCTAGTGAAATCTTATTAAAAACTAGATACACTAGAATTTCGTGATTGACCCCATGTGTGTTCCACTTTTACAGACTCGCATGCGTACAACTCTCCGGGGACTTCTCCACGAGGAGGAACATTTAAAGTTTAAAAAAAAGCGTCTGATTTTGATGAGCTCATGATGAGCTGCTCATCTCTTTCGTAGATTGTAGCGATCATTTTTGGGTGGCATCATCTTTTTTGGTGCTTCTTTCTTTTTGCGTTGTGATAGTGGTTGTACGAGTTTCATTGGGGAGACGTCTTTAATTTTCCGGCAAACAATGGCGATTTCTTGTGGTGGTCTTTGCGCATCAACATCAGGCCCATTTGATTTTGTATGGGAACGCAAAACACACGAGCTTTTTTGCTCGATTTGGTGTTTCTTGTTCGTGTTCCTCCGAGCTCAAAAATTTTCATTTTTCCTATTTGGGGAGTATTTTCTTCTTCTTCAAAGAAGTGGGAATGCCATTACCAAAAAGCCAAACACGGCTATAGTGTTTGAGTTTCATTTTTAAAAACAATGCATTTGTACCTCCTCGAGGAAACCTCCATGGGGAGTAATTTTTTCAATTTAAAAAAAAAAAAATATTATTGTGCACTTAGAGTATGTTCGAATGTTTGAATATTCGACAATGCTCGAACATTCGAACAACTATTCACGCCATGTGTTCGTTCGTTCGAAATGTTGTTCGAATGTTCGTTCGTTCGTTCGAAATTTGAATTTAAACGAACGAACGAACAAAAATCAACTTTTTTTCATGTTCGTTCGTGTTCGTTGCCACCTTTACGTACAAGTCGGATTTTTATTCTGACCCATTCAATCGAAGGTTGGTATTGTATCAACATCATTTGTTTACGCTCACTGTTTCCCACCTTCACAGGCGGAGAACAAATAAATATGACAAAAAAAACAATAAAACTGCACTTATTTCTGTTGACTGTATTGGATTTATTTTATTTTGTTCAATTGATAAGGATGCAAGACATTTCTTGAAGAGATATGAATTTTGTTTCTCAGTTTTTACAAAAAGTGAATTATTTTAAAATTCTGTACTATTTCTATTTCCTTTAGATTCGAAATTGGCGTATAATCTGACTTAATGAAATATTGAATTCAAAGCAAAGTTTTCGAATAAGTTGGATGTGGGTTTTTTCTTAGTTTAATGAATATTTTGCGGCAGCAACATAATTGTTTGTGGATTCGCAATTTTCTACGACCTGATCGTAGTTGATCGTCGCAATCATTTCTTTAAACCATGAACATTTTTCATGTGTCGATTGGCAAGACAAAGTAGTGAAAAACGGCCGCCACATAGTTTGCATGGAAATGGCTTTTCGCCAGTGTGGTGGTTTCGAATGTGACCCTTTAATTGTGATGATTGATGCTTTAAAACTTTGCATACGTAGCATTGATAAAGGCGACGCTTGCAGCATCCTTCATGTGCATTCTTATCGTCTTCGTTTGCGAATGGCATAAGGCATTTGGAGCAATGGACCGGTTTTTGTTTGAAATGTATAGCCAAATGTTGCTTGAGATTACCTTTGTGAAGAAATTTCTTTCCGCAAACACCACATTTGAATAGTTTCTCGCCAGTGTGATGGATTTGCATGTGCTGCTTCAATTCATATTTTCGAAATCGTTTGAATGGACAAAGATAACAATCGTATCGTCGGCCTTTGCAATGATCCTCATGCGATTGTTTCTCGTTTTCATTGGCGAATCGTCGACCACATTGTGCGCAATCAAATGGAAGTTCTTTAATGTGGGTGCGTGAATGAGTGATGACATGAGATTTGCATGCAAATTTTTTGGCACAAACATGGCATCTGAATGGTCTCACACCATTGTGGATTAGCATGTGCCGTTTGAGAGATTTGAAAGTATGAGTTGGTTTCTTGCATAGATGACAGACATATTGACGATGTTCACATTCGCTTTTGTGGTTGATTTTATCGATTTCATGTGCAAAACCTCGACGACACTTTGAACAAAATTGAAGTTTTGGTTCATGCGTTTTCTTATGACGATTCAAATGTGGCTTGTGTGCAAAAGCTATGCCACATATTTCACATGCGAACGGCTTTTCGCCGGTATGAGCACGAATGTGTACTGTGAGGTGTCCTTTTTGCGATGTCACATAATTACAGAAATTACATTTGTGTTGCTTCTGATGCTTCGAAACCGGCTTCTTTGGCCCTTTGGCCATTCTGTCATTCTTTACGCCTTTTGACTTCTTTCGTTTTGCTTGACGTTTTTTGTTCTGACCGCCTTTCGAATTTGGTCTCAAACTGCTTAAGCTTTCCCCATTCCGATCAACGTTTTCCATTCCATTTCTATCCTTCGTCGGGTCACATTCCTTCTTCGAACACTCGTCTTCGCTTTTGACCTCTTTCTTCAAATAACTCGGCTTACTTCCCAAGTCTAGCTCACTATCGCTCTCGCTTTCCGATTTTATGATTGAATTCGTCGCAATTTGAGGTGATGTCGGCGTGTCCTGAATCAAATAGGCACCGTCACTTGGCTCTTCCTTTATTTCTTGTTTGATTTTAATGTGTGCTTCTTTTTGCTGCCACTTACACTTGTGCTTTTTGGCCCTCGCACCCAATGTTCCTTTGTTTCGATACGGATTCATGGTGACTCGGTGGTTCTAATAAAAAGAGAAATTCAAATTTAAAAAATGGGCAAGAAATTTAATCATAAACTCTCCATCGGTTTTAATTTTCCGCACACACCTAGTGTGTAAGGGGAAAGTATTGCAATGGGTCAAAATTTACGAAACCTCAAAAACATGTTTTCTGGACGTTCCTGAGGTCAGAGAACCCGAATCAGGCCGTTTTGAGCATGATTGTTGTGGGTCTGTTCCACGTCGTACGTTGTCCTCTGTACACAAAATTTGTCCATCGATTATCTCACCCCCAGAAAAGTTATTT